TACAGGCGTGAGCCACCGCGCCCGGCCCTATGCTTCCATCTTGAGCAGAGGTTTTGCTTTACTTTCCCTCCATTTTATGAGTTCTCTTTTTCTAGTATTTTAGTTAATCAGATCTACTTGTTTGATCTTCTAATTTTATTATTTTCTTATTTGGCTGTCCTTTTATTCTACTTTCTGAAGAGTTCCTTCACTTTATCTTCCATCTTTCTATTAAATCTTTTATTTTGGCTAGGTGTGGTGGCTGGCTCAGGCCTGTAATCCTACCATTTTGGGAGACTGAGGCAGGAGGGAGCATTGCTTGAGGCCAGGAGTTAGAGGCCAGCCTGAGCAACATAGTGAGACTCCCTCTCTACGAAAAATAGAAAAATTGGCCAGGCGTGATGGTGCATGCCTGTAGTGCCAGCTACACAGGAGGCTAAGGTGGAAGGATCACTGGAGCCCAGGAGTTTGAGGTTGCAGTGCACTGTGATGATGCCACTATACTCTAGACTGGGCAACAGACCCAGACCCTGACTCAAAAAAAAAAAATCTTATTTTGGCTGTCAACATTTTTTATTTCAAAGAGCCCTTGCTTTCTGATTTGTCATTTTTTCCCCCTAACATTCTGTTTTTGTTTTATGGATATAGTATCAGTAAAATCTGAGGATTTTAACTAGTTTGCTTTGTTAGTGTGGGGATTTTTTTTTTTTTTTTACTGTTTCTTGCATTGTCTTCCTTTTTTCCCTCCAAGTTTTTCCTATTTGTCTCCTTGGTCTCTTTCTGTCACACTGGGCATTTTCCTCAAATTTCAGTTGATGCTTGGCTGTTTCTGTTCTTGTTTTGAGACAGGGTCTTGCTCTGTTGCCTGCACTAGAGTGCAGTGATGTCATAGCTCACTGGAACCTCAAACTCCTGGGCTCAAGCGAAGTGATCCTCCTGCCTTGGCTTCCCAAAGTGCTAGGATTACAGGCCTGAGCCACTGCGCCTGGGCTGTTTGTTCATTTTTAAGTGGACACCTCTGGAAAGCTGATTGGGAGCTCTGTATGAGCAGCAGAGCATTACTAACTGGTAGGCTTTTACTGTTAGGTATATGTACAGAGACCCATCCATTTTCTTTAGGGGGGTTCATAGCTATCAGTCTATAAAGATCTTTATTTCTTGGGCTGTTCCCCCCCCCCCCAGAGAATGGGGAGTGTATATAAACCAGAATATTGTATCCTGGATTTATTTATTTGTAATATTTTACTTTTTTTCCTTGTATATTAACAGTCGTTTAGTTTTCAACTTAAATTTGTTAGAAATCCATTCTGTTAGGTCTGTCTTAAAATGTATTGCACCAAATCTTAAGACAAAGGACACTGGATATTAAGAAAGAGGTCCACCCCAGTCTTTACAATCCAGTGCAGTTACTTTTCTTCCTGTGTGTACTCTGCTAGCATGATTACAAAAACCAAGACATGATACTTTTTTATTTATTACATTTTTTATCTTCTCATATCATAACCCCTATACAAATGAAGACAGCTTGCTTCTCAATAGCACACCTCCCTGCCACTCTTTTTTTTTTTTTGAGACAGAGTCTCACTCTGTCGCCCTGGGTAGAGTGTAGTGGTGTCATTGTAGCTCACTACAACCACAAACTTCTGGGCTCAAGTGATCCTTTTGCTTTAGCCTCAAGTAGCTGGGACTACGCCACCACACCTGGCTAATTTTTCTATTTTTAGTAGAAATGGGTTCTCTCTTGCTCAGGCTGGTCTCGAACTCCTGAGCTCAAGCCATCTTCCCACCGTGGCCTCCCAGAGTGCTAGGATTACAGGTGTGAGCCACCACACTCTTTGCAGGCACTTGAGTTTTATATTTTCAGCTCTGCTAAGTAGTTACCAGTCCCCTTTATGGTCTTAAAAAAACTGGTTTGTGTTTCTCATATTCTGTTTGCATTTGCTTGTTCTTGTGTATTTATCCTTTTTTTAGGCTTTTTTTTTTTTTTTTTTTGTCATCGATGGGCTTTTGGGAATGACTAGAGAAAAAGATAAATGTGCTTCATCTACCATGTTACTAGAACTCCCTCCCTTTATTCAGCCCTCTCCAATCTGGCCTCTGACCCCACCACTTCAGGGAAACTGCTCTTTTTTTTTAGGTCATCTTTCATCCCCACATTGCTAACTCTGGTGGCCATTCTTTCCGTCAGTAGCACTTGACACTCTTAACCATTCCTTCTTTGAAACATTCATCTTGTAAGACTCCACTCTCCCCCACATTTCTTTCTACCTCACAGTCTTTGTTTACTGGCGTCTCTTACTGTAACTGTTGTCCTTTTAATGTTAGTGTCTCTGGTTTTAGTCTTTGGCCCACTTCTACCATTCCGTCTCTTCTTAGGTGGTTTAGTCTGCTACTGTGATTTTAAGAATCCTGACTATTCTGAGGATTCTTAAAGCGATCTGCTCCTTCCATCTCCACTGCTACTACTCTTGACCACTAGTCTGGACTCCTGCGATAGCCTCCAAACTGCGCCTAGTTTGCACTCTTGCTCCCCTGCAGTCCATTCCTAACACAGAAGAAACTCCTTACCAAGGCTTATGAGGCTTTTAATGAGAATATCCTGCCCATCAACCAAACCCATGCTTGCTAGGGACCTGTGCATTGATTTCCTTCTGAGACTCTTCTTGGCTTTTCATATGGCCAGCTTCTTTTAATCGTTCTTGCCTCAGCTCAGTTTTCACTCTCAGAGAGGCCTCCCCTCAAAAAAAAATTGTGTCTTAAGTGGTACCCCTTTCCCCCCAAAACCGTATGTCCCAATCTATAATTTTCTCATTTGTTTATTGACTTATCTCCCTTGCTACAATGTAAACCCTATACAGTGTCTTGTCTGCCTTTGCCTCTGAGGTGTCTGACTGCATAACAGGTGCTTAACAGGTATTGAATTCCCATTTCCTCATAAGTCGGGTGGAAATAAAGGTGCTTACCTTACTTCAAAAAGAAATGAGGGGCTAAGTTACACTGATGTGCTTTGGAAACTAGGTGGTGGTTTTCATACTGAGGTAATGGAATTAAATATGGGAATCAAAAAATGAAAGGGACATCTAGGTGCTTATTAAATATTTGTTGGGTGGACTAACGTAATGGAATTTGGAGATGGGGAAACAAATAATGAAAGGGGTAGGGTAAGATTTGTTCAGCCTTTTTGGAGATTTGGAGAGATTAGATAAATTTCTGTAATATTTTGAGTTAGTAACTGAGTTAATTTTGCAAGTGTAAAAAAATGTCCTTTCTTATCCTTTGTAATTTTTCATGCTGGTAAAGATGAATATTGCCTGCTAAACTTAGATATAGCATTGCAGGTATTTGATTTTGGTAAATGTCCATATTCAGGCTGAGACAAAGAACTGCAAGTTGTCTGAGAGATTACTTTCAGACCTAATAGTTCAAAGCCCTTGTTTTATATAGATCTTTCTATTTTGGAAGATATTGCTAGGATCACAGGACTTAATGTTTTCAAAGGACAAACTAGAAAACTGCTTATATACACAGGTTTGTAAGACTAAGAAAAAAAACTGCTTATAAGTGTTTGTTATAGAGAAAAAAGTTGATTACCAAACACTTCTGACTTAAGTAACTAAAATCTTCTCTCTGAGGGTCTCATTTTTGCTAAGAGGGATCTCAAACAGAAATTCAGAAAGACTACGTATATATGCTCATATCAGCTGTATAGCATGTTTTATTTATTTCACTAATAACTTTTTATAAATACTGTTTCTGCAGTGATGGCTCATGAAGCAATGGAACATGAGCTTCAGGTGCAGTTAGACCGTGATGCTGCAGAACAACCATCTCCTGCTGAAGTGGCTGGCAGTCAGGGGGTCCTGCCTCTGCTCCAGCCTGTCCCTGCTGAAGTGGTGAGCAGCCAAGGGGGACCACTCCTGCTCCAGCCTGCTCCACAGGTGTCCATTGACCTGACAGAGGAAGAGGTGCTCTCAGGTGAAGAGCGTGTGGAGAACATTGATCCAGGAGCTTCAGAGGAGCAAAGGCAGGGATCTGGTGCTACCCACACCATCCAAGCACCTTCAGTCGACTCAATGAACACCTTCATCACTGGGCTGCAGAGACTTCATGGCATGCTGGAATTCCTGAGACCTCAAAGTTCAGACCACAGTGTGGGGCCAATGAGACCGAGGAGAAGGAGGAGGAGGGGGCCTACCTCACGGAGGGCAAGAGTTGGAGGGTCTCAGAGGACAGACAGTGCCAGGTAAATATATGTATAAGCCATGTGATTGGTGCCATACTAGGAATGATGAAACTCAGGCTCTGGTCTGAGTGCTGCCAAGGACTGGCAGTGTGACTTTTGGCAAGTCAGGTAACTTTGCTGAATCCTCATTTCCTCATAAATCAGATGGAAATAAAAGTGCTTGCCTTACTTTATAAAGTAACTGAGGGGATTAGTTATACTGATGTGCTTTGAAAACTAGGTGGTAGTTTGTTGGTAACCGTTTCTATAGAGGTTGGCTTTCTCTCTCTCTTTTTTTTTTGTGGGACAGTGTCTCATTCTGTCACCCAGGCTGGAGTGCAATGGCATGATCATAGCTTGCTGCAGCGTCCAACTCCTGGACTCAAGTGATCCTTGTATGTCAGCCTCCCAAGTAGCTGGGACAGCAGGCATGTGCCACCATACTCGGCAA